GTTAAACTTGCAGTGCACAGCACTTTAAATGTCATAGATACCTGACTTTAAAAAAGAATAAACAAGCTGAAGAGAAGTGCAAAAAAAATTGAAGTGGATAGGACTGGAACCAAGAAGTAGAAAATCTGAAAACCTGCACCCAAAAGAATGGGGATCAAATTTTTACATGGCATTCATTTTGACTTTTAATTATTAGCAGCAAGGGCAGGAAAGGGAAAGGAAACAAAAAAAAAATAAAATGACTACATCAGTATTATTTTTTCCTCAAAAACTATTTCTTAATTCCAGCAATTTCTGTACTGCAAAATTTGAGTTTAGTTGCTTGATCCTTTAAATACTGGGAAGCTGGTTTATACTCTTTTATAGCTCTATATTTTCAAGATCTGTTTTCCAAGAAAAATATTGAAAGATCGTATATTTAAAGAAAATGAAAACTCACTTTTTTTTTTCTCATTTAAATGTCTAATGGTAGATAGGAACATGAATAACTTCAAAATTTACCATCCTACCAAAAGAGTTGTGGGAGGATATCAAACACAGAGCACTTCTTCACTATGCAGAGGCAAATGCCCCTAGAGTGAATACTGCCACCTCTCCTATTTTCTGTCCAAGAGGCAAGATGACGTGGCCATGGCAAGGGCAGAGCAGGCAGCAGTGGCAGTGGCTGGAATGAGCAGTGGGCAGGGGACCTCTATTTTTTATCAGATGCAATGGTAGATTATTTTTTGCATTTCTGAGATATTCACCCATCATGTGCCACCTTGAGCTGTGCGTGTGTGGGGGTGAAGGTGTGTGGGTCTGCTTTTTTCCCATAGAATTATTTCTCAGAGTGGGAGGTTCTCATCCTACGTGTACCAGGCTGAAAGCAAAGCAACTGTGTTCAGGAAGATGCTAAATAAAGAAAGTGGTTGAACAGAGAGGGAGGATGAAAGAACTATGCTGATGCTAGTGTCAAAATAAAATGGGACAACCACTTAAAACAAAAGCCTGGAACACTTTAGTGTACTTGGAAGATTTAATTAGAACTACGTAGGTCTCCCCTCCTTGTGCTCTACATAATTTCAGTTGTGCAAGGTACCATGCTGTAAAAAGGGAAGGGATTTACATCTTTTATTGAGAGTGGAAATACCTGAACGTTGCTGCACACTGACAAGTACAAATGGAAAAAAAAAAAATAAAAAAAAATCGGGGTACCCATGTTTAAAAATGGTTGTCATAGAATATGGGAGCCAAGAATCTCAAACCTGTTTCTATTTTAACGTGGCTGTTTGTACATAGCTCTCATTATTAACATATTATTTATTTTTTGTATACTAGAAGACTGTACAAATATATCAAGATTTGTATCTGCAAATTCTTCACTGAAGTTGCAAGGCAACCTTAGCTATGTAATGTGCCTATGACAGTATGCTACACTATGTTGTATTTTATATTATTGGGAAGCCAGGTTATATTGTTTGGCAAATACAGAATCATAGAATAGTTAGGGTTAGAAAGGACCTTAAGATCATCTAGTTGCAACCCCCCTGCCATGGGCAGGGACACCTCACACTAAACCATATCACCCAAGGCTCTGTCCAAACTGGCCTTGAACACTGCCAGGGACAGAGCATTCACAACCTCCCTGGGCAACCCATTCCAGTGCCTCACCACCCTAACAGGAAAGAATTTCCTCCTTATATCCAATCTAAACTTCCTCTGTTTAAGTTTGAACCCGTTACCCCTTGTCCTGTCACTACAGTCTCTAATGAAGAGTCCCTCCCCCTTCAGATACTGGAAGGCTGCTATGAGGTCTCCATGCAGCCTTCTCTTCTCCAGACTCAACAGCCCCAACTTCCTCAGCCTATTTTTATACAGGAGGTGCTCCAGTCCCCTGATCATCCTCGTGGCCCTCCTCTGGACATGTTCCAACAGTTCCATGCCTTTTTTATGTTGAGGAAACCAGAATTGTACACAATACTCCAAGTGAGGTCTCACAAGAGCAGAGTAGAGGGGCAGGATCACCTCCTTTGACCTGCTGGTCACGTTCCTTTTGATGCAGCCCAGGATGCAGTTGGCTTTCTAGGCTGCGAGTGCACCCTGAAGCTGCCTCATGTTCATTTTCTCATCGACCAACGCCCCCAAGTCCTTCTCTGCAGGGCTGTTCTGAATCTCTCCTCCGCCCAACCTGTAGCTGTGCCTGGGATTGCTCCGACCCAGTGCAGGACCTTGCACTTGTCATGGTTAAACTTCATAAGGCTGGAATCAGCCCCTCTCACAAGTGTGTTGAGGTCCCTCTGGATGGCATTCCTTCCCTCCAGAGTATCAACTGAACCACGCAGCTTGGTGTCATCGGCAAACTTACTGAGGGTGCACTCAATCCCACTGTCCATGTCCATATAACACACAAAGTTAATTAATAAATTGTAAGGCAGAAGGGATTTTCTTTATTTTGGAAGGAAATATTTTATCTGTTTGTTTGCAGCTGACCATATGTGTAATGTACATTTTTCTACGTATAACAGAGTGTCAGGGAAGTAGGCTGGTTGTTATACAGTCCCGGATAGCTGCACTTTGGGTCAGATGGGAATCATCTGGAAGGTGGGAGGTAGCATCATACACATAATTTCCCTGAAAAACATGTTTAAGTAAGAGAAATACCTGGAGTTCAAGGTGGCTTTGGCATGAAATAATTAGAACAGCAAAGACGGACCCAGGAGAGGATGGAGAGACCTCAAGGTTCCTATGGCAAATGTGGGTAGCAGTAGGGCTTGCTCATAGGAGAGAACAGGAAAGACTGCCCACTTAAGAGGAAGACACTTCTCAGAGAAGAAATGGGTTTTACCATAATGCACATAGTTGCTAGAATTTAGTGGTCTGAAAAGTGGAACAGGCAGAAAGGATCTGACCTCTAAGAATGTGATATGAAAGAGAGAAAATTGATTTCAATCACCTTTTCATTTACTCCTCTTCAGTGGCAGATCTGAATCTCAATCTGCAGATATGACTCTTCTAGACATAAAAAATATTACCTGTTCTAATATACTGACTTTTAAGTGACTGCACTTCAAGGAGCATATTTTGCAAGTGTACGGTCCCATCATAGTAGTCATTTAGTGTAATTTGAATAATCCTTAGGCTTCCATGAGTAAATTCTTGCTCGAACTAGCATGATATCTTAAATGATTATCCAGCCTTGGCAGTCATATTCTGTAATAGAAATTTATCTGCCTTTGGCAAGCTGTCCAAGGACTTAATTAGCTTCACTGTGCTGTACCTTCTGCTTAGCTTAGTGAATTTACCTCTCTTCTGTTATTGTCTGTCATTAACTTTCTGTCTCCTCGATTGCAGTCTAAATGGATCTTCAAGTTCATTTTTTTTTTTTTTTTAAGGTAAACTCATTAGACACGGTTCCTTTTGTCTTTCAGCATTTCAATGTTTTAACCATAATTTTGGTCTCCAAAGGAAGGAGGAATGTAAGTTTTCTCTGCTGTGTTCCATTAACAAAAACTGCAGGCTAGACTTTTTCATTCATCATTTCACAAAGACTGCAGAAGTCTCAGAAGTCAGAGATTTCCACAATGAATTCTCTGTCCTGTCAACATGGAGGATTATTCCTACATTTCCAGTAGTATACTTTCCCACATGAAATCCTACTTCTCTTTGCACCTAGCTTAGGAGGTGAGTTAGGCCCCCCTGTAATGATGATTTCTTTAGTACCTATGACATAGACAACCATGGCACTACCAGCATCCAAAACAATACAATTTATCAGCATTTGCTCCCTTGGTTTTCAATAAAAAAAATATATCAAGGAGAATCTAAATCTAGCTCAGTTCTAAAGTGTATTATGTTCCACCCAGAGTCCTTCTGTAGCCATCCCCATGAATCTGGTTACATGTTCATTTTAAAACTTCTTTTATAAACACATTTTGATGCCTTTAATGACTGTCATTTTTCCTAAGCAATTTTAATTTTCTCTCTCTGCTTCCAGTTGTTGCCATAGGTAGTGGCAAACATATTAAAAATGCACAGCAGTGACCTTTTTTTACTTAAAGATATCTAATAAAAAAGAAACTAACTGAGGAGCTTGAAAGATCAGTCTTTTTACAGTTTACTGATCATTTCAACGTTAGTCTTCAAAATGATGAAACTCTTAACTTAGGAGATACAGGCATTACATAGCTGACTTTAGAAACCAAGTGACTATTGAATGCTCTGGATATCAGAAACATTGAAAATGTTTCCACTGAAGAGCTTTTAAATTTATTTTTAATTTTGTCTATTTATTTATTTATTAAATTTGTAAGCAGTGAATTCTATTACCAAAAACAATAAAACAATAACTCATTACTAAAAACAATAACTCAAAAACAATGACGCACAGGGATTTAAGTAAAAAATATGTTAAGATACACCTATGGTTTCTATGTGGTAGAAGGCTTTAATTTGTCTGGAAGTCCCCTTTCATGCCATAGCCTATCATGTAGGTTTTTCCCAAGTAGAGTATATGAACAGATAAGATTTTTTTTTATTTAAATGGTGAGGTTTGTGAATGGGAGAATTGTAGTTCATGGGCTGGAATATCTTTTAACATAATTTACTAATGGATGTCCTGAGGGTCACATCAAACCATTTTCTTATTCTAATTGGTGTGAAAGCAGAACAAGACAATTGCAAATTTCATTAGGCTGGTCCCATAATTAATGCAGTTAAATATTTGCTGAAACTGTTAATAAAACACTTGTACTCAAAATTTATAGAAGTAGTCTTCTTGCAATGTCATCACGGACTCATGGTTCCATAAAGATTGTTTTGTCTAAATGTGCACAAAAAAATAGTCATGATATTTTACAATATCAATATATTTTTCAGTATTTCAAATGATCTGAATATCTTTCTGCTGTAAGTCAATTCATCAATATTTGCCATACAGGAATTATTGATACTAAACTTCCCTTGAATGAATTATAAGCATTTTTTGTTGTTTTTTGTGTTTTTTCCAACAAATGTTTTTGGAGAATTTCAGAAACAAAACAATCTTGTGTTTAACAAGCCAGGAGAAAGTGTTGCTTTTACTTGCCCTTATAACATTGCAGATTCAGTGCTGCAAGTGATGTGGGAAAGGATTAAAGCAGATTGAGTAGATATTGTTGTTCTGTGCAGCTCATCAGGAAAGCAAAGCTTTGGTTCACATTTCAAAGAGCGTACACTGATGGGCTGCTCTGATCAGGCAAACTCCTATATTGTTATCCCAAACATTACAGCCTCTGACTTTGCAAATTACCACTGTGTAGCTACTGAGAGAAACAAAACCCATGTAATGATTTTTACTGTGGCTGGTAGAGTAAAGGAGGAAGCGGTAAATATTTTCACAATAGGACCTTCTGAGGCATCAACACTTTCACCCATATAAAATAACTCTTTGGTAACAAGTGAGGGTTAATTTAAATAATACCATACTCCAATTAGCAGCATGTAAAATATGGCAAAGTTAACAATTAATCATATTTCCACAGAAAGAGACTTGTTTTAAGCTTGTCTGATATCATTATTGAACTTAATCTATTTGTGAAAAACTGTTTTGATGCTGGGAAGAAGATAGACAGCATGAGTTTGCAGGGAGAGGAGGGCATTCTTCCAGAGAAGATATGAGGGGAATTCCCTATTAGCACAGAGAGAAACAGGGGCCCAGGGCAAGACTTACCCTCCAATGAAGACAAAGAGCACACTCAGCTGAAAATGTAAATATATACTGGCCTCAACCTTACTCTTGTAAGGAGTTTCTCTGGGGGGAACCGAGAAGCTCAGTGTTTTTTACTGTGACTACTGTCACAAATTGATTGTAATGGGAGCTTAGGTCTGCACATGTAGTTTTAGTTCTTTTGTGTAGAATGTATTTTGAAGATACAGTTCTTATTTGTCCTGGGTTCAGCAATAGCAGTCATTTTTCTCCTTCTTAGTAGCTGGTGCAGTGCTGTGGTTTTGACTTTCAGCCTGGGAACAACGTTGATAACACCAATGGTTTTAGTTGCTGCTCAGTAATGTTTACTCTGACCAAGGACTTTGTGAGCCTCATGCTCTGCCAGGGAGAAGGGGAAGTCGGGAGGAAGCAGAGACAGGACACCTGACCCAAACTAAGCAAAGAAGTATTGCATACCACAGCACGTCATGCCCAGGATGTAAAACTGGGGGCAGTTACCCGAAAGGGCTAGTTTACTGATCAGGTCAGGCTGGGTATCTATTGGCAGGTGGTGAGTGGTTGTAATCTCTTCCCTTGTTATTTCCCTTATCATTATCATTATTGGTGGTAGCAGTAGTGATTTGTGTTATACCTTCGTTACTGGACTGTTCTTAACTCATGGGAGTTACATTCTTTCGGTTCTCCTCCCCATCCCTCTGGAAGCAGGGGTAGGAAGGGGGGGGAGTAAGCGAACAGTTGCGTGGTTTCTGGGTTGCCAGCCGAGCTTAAACCACAACATTGTTCTACATGGGTCCTTCTTCTGTTGCAGTATTCAGTCCAGCTTTTGGTGTTCTGCCTTGCGCCTGGTAATACATGAGTGTTGGTAGACATATCTAAGAGCTGTAGCATGGAGCATAAAACTTCAGAATATGCTTAATCTGCAATATGATTAATTGAGAAGTGGAAAATATGCTTGAGAAAAAAATGCTGATCTGCTTTACTCTTGATACTTGACCATGAAAGTCTATGAAATTGAGCAGAATGCCATAAAGAAAGAGGTATAAGGACAAAAATTCCTCTCACCTTTAGGAATTTTAAACATTCAAATTTCAAAATATTTACGATATTGGTATAATCAAGCATATCCAAATTGTAGAGTAATAGAAGTATTTTCTGTTTGCTCCAAGTGCTTCTCATACCAAAATGAATGCATATGAGTTGCAAGCAACACAGTAATTTTCAGAATTACCAGAACTACCTACACAAACAACTTTTTTCAAGAAGAGTTTGGTTTCCATGTTTCTTTTGCTCTTGAAATTGATCCTATATATAATTTTTTGTTCTAACAATGCCAGCATAATTATGCCTGTTTACTGGAGGAAAAAAAAAGTATAAAACCATTGCAGAAGCTGAAGTACAGTCTGATTCAGAAATCACTCCCTTGTCTCCCTTTTAAGCCCTCACTTGATATGAGGTGGGTTTTGTTGAATTTTCACTAACTTCAAAAGAAGTGAAGTCTCAAGGATTTCCAATTATTTCTCTTTTAATGTTTGAAATGTTTCATAACACAATATTTGCAGTGAGATATGGAGAAACACTAAGGGGAGAGAAGCAACAGGCCAGGCGCCAGCTTCCCCCCGCAATGTGTAGCATAGCCAGTGAAGTCTCTCACAAATTCATGAGTGCCTTTGCTTGATGCAACAGCCGTGGTTTGAATAAAGCAAGTGCTGACAGAAAACTGCTACGCTAGTTCTTTGTGTATGTTCTGTCAATTCAGTCACATCTTTTTCTTTGGCTTAGCATTACAGTTAAGCCACACAAGAGCTTGGATTTGCTACCAAACTCCTCCAATTTTTGTTGTCTGTCAGTGTGATTCTGCATGCGTACTGCGAATCTTCTTGCTTTGCCCAGTTTCAGAGATGTTTTGAAATACTGAGTCTAGGCGCTGGGACAATAGCTGCACTGTAAGCAGTAATACAGAAAACTCTGATTAGGTAGAGAGAAAGTAAAAGAAAAGAAATTTTTTTATTATTAATATTTTTTGAGAGACCCCAAGAATGTCTGAAGAGGAGGAATCTTGGGTGAAAGGAAGTAGAAATAAGAGTGCAGGATTATTTGCAGAGCTGATGATAGTTCTAAACCTTCAGATTCTGAGAGGTGGTACTGTAGAAAGAAGTAGATTGCTTCTTGTCTATAGGTGAATGTATTTTTGCAAGGAAAATCAGCATGGTATTCCTATGAAGAAAAAAGGAAGAGAGGAGGGAAAAGGTATTCAAATGTCAGGAAAGCCTGAACTATTCTTGCAGTTTTATCAGTAGAAGTCAGCATGCTGCATTTAAGGTTTTTCAACATGAGTGAAGGTAAAACCGTAAGGTGCTTTCATTATCATTAAGTTCGTCCAGTCTATCCCGCTAAATATTGTGATTGTTGTTTTTAGTAACAGGAATTTCCATCTGAAAGGAGCCTTCTGCTAATCTTTTTGACCTTGAAACCTGGCACACATAAAGCAGCATGTGTATGCAAAGGAGTGTAACTTTTGTTGGACAGCACCTACAGAAACAGAAGGCTGAATATTTCATAATAATATAATGTATTCAAGAGACTTTGGATAAATTTCTGGTGTGTTCTTCATCATATTTCTCCTTCTAAAAATTCTAATGATATGGAGATTGGTCATGTCACCAGATTCCACATTTGAATCTGTTTCTGATTTTTACTTACCTTGCCTTTTCCTTTGATTAGATTTTTTTTTTTTGAGCATGTTTTTGAATGGAGGAAACTGACTTACAATCCATGTATTGTTTTGATAGATGACTGGGAAAGAAGGTGAGATACCACATGAAAGAACTGAAAAGTTAGCAGAGTTAAAAAAGGAATGCTTATTCCATCCTGAAGACCCAGCCATTTTTAGAAAGATGTAATAAGGTTTTTCTTGCTTCAGTAGCAAGTGGGATAGCAAGCTCTCTTAGACAAAGTAAAATAGAAACATCTTGTGCTGCTATGTGTTTCCACTAGGTCTGAAAAGCTGGGTGGTGCTTATATTTAAATGTATATTTACGGTCAGAATTACATTATGGCTTGTACTAGCCTTCTCAGCAGCTTTGTTGCCCTCCTCTTGACACCTTAGTCAAATACCTTAATATCCTCAAATTGTGGGGCCCAGAACTGTACGTAGTGCTCAAGGTGAGGCTGCAACAATGCTGAATACAAAGAGATAATCACATCTTCTGACAGGCTGCCTGTGTTGTTTGCCCTTTTGGCTGCTGACTTCTGTTGAGCCTGCTGCTGACAAGTACCCCCAGATCCCTTTCTGTAGGCCTGCTCTCCAGCCACTCCACTTCCCGTTTATACTTATGCCTGCTGTTACTCTGTCTTGGATGTAGAATCCTGCATTTGTCCCCTTCATCCATTTGGCTGGTTACCTTACCTTAATAGAAGGTAATCACATTAGCTGGACAGGACTTTCCCTTTGTGAACCCATGTTGACTGTGCCTTTAGATTATTTTCAACAGCACCCAGTATGATCTTCACAGCAGCAGATGAAAAGCAGGCTACAACTTGTCCAGTCATTGAGGGTTATCTATGTCCTTCTGAGCTAAAAGAAGAAAGTAGCACTTCTGTGCCACAGAAAACAGAATATAAGGCTACAGCTGGTGGTGAGGACAATCAGGGTAGGAGTGAAATTAACTTCCTTCTTTCCTCATAAATTCATACAGTGTGAACACAAGATATCAGACCATGCTGTGGGTCTCTACTCAACAAATCACCTTTCTCTGAGCATGAATGCATTCATGCTGGATTTCTGCCTTTGAGATTTGGGCAAAACTATTTCAGATGTCTAGTTAGCATACCATATGTGCCAGTCCAGCAAGGCATGTGACAAACTACATGCAGATCTTTACAGTGAGTTCAAATCTCTTGTTAAAACAAATTGCTGTCTGGCCTATCAGACGGCATATATATATATATGCCGTCTGATAGATAAGCATATATATATATATATGCTGCCTGTATATGTAAGTTTTATATACATATATATATATATATAAAGTGCCAAGGCTAGAAAGATGGCAGAGAGAGAGACACATTGTCTAATACTTAACAGAAATTGAACTGCAGCTGAAAATACACTTAATAGCCTGCCATCAGTATGCCACCTTTGATGAGAACACAAGAACTAAAGAGACACATGACAAGCCTCTGACATGTTTCTGCAAACTTTTGAATGTTATATTAAAGTCAGTAATTACAAAAGGTTTTATTTAGTTAAAGAAAACAAATGCTCCAGGAAGGCTTTGCTCACTTCAAATGAGAAAAGGCAAAAGGGCTTTGAGGTGTTGTCAGTTCTAAAAAAAAAATAAAATCTAACGTTTTTTTTTAATCCAGATTTAACTGACAGCTGATAATCCCATCTCTCAAACTCATTAACTCCTAGATGATTATCTTAACCTGATAAAGCTGAGGGTGAATTCAGAAAAATTAGATCTGGAGTGAAGGATGGGGATGATGCTGAAGTATGGAACTCTATTCAGATTCAACCATCCTTGATGATAAAATATAAGATTTTAAATTTTTCTCTCCATGAATACAGGATGTTTTCTCCTTAAGTACTCATGGCAGAGAAAATGATGTTCTGTGGCAGGTAGCTGAATACCTGAAAAAAGACATAATCTTTCTGAATTTGATCATAATTATATGCACTATCCTGTCATTTTAAGTGCACAGCAGATGAAAACATGCTGGTAGTAGAGTGATTTCATATGTGGTTATAATACAGAAGGCATCACTTTTTGCTACCAGGCAGCCTTTTCTGTTGTGTCACATACCTTCATCAGTGTAAACTTCTGGGAGGATTTTGTTTCTTTTTTCTTTCCAGTAAAATAACATTGGAATGCAAGGATAAGACTTTTCTGTAATCAGTATTATATTTTTTTTATCTTTTCCAATGATCACATTAATACTAAAGATGCGTACCTGAGCATGTCTCAGCTGCTACTCAGGATAGCCAGATAAGAAGCTGTGAACCTTTTTGATCCTGGTGAGAAAAGACATGGTGATGGCTCAGCAGCTGGTTAGCTGGGACTACAGTCCTGTCTTGAGTTAAGCAGTAGCAGTCATTTTCCTCCTTCTTAGTAGCTGGTGCAGTGCTGTGGTTTTGACTTTCAGCCTGGGAACAACGCTGATAACACCAATGGTTTTAGTTGCTGCTCAGTAATGTTTACTCTGACCAAGGACTTTGTGAGCCTCATGCTCTGCCAGGGAGGAGGGGAAGGTGGGAGGAAGCAGAGACAGGACACCTGACCCAAACTAACCAAAGAGGTATTCCATACCACAGCACGTCATGCCCAGGATGTAAAACTGGGGGCAGTTATCCGGAAGGGCTAGATCACTGCTCGAGTCAGGTGGGGTATCGGTCGATGGCTGGTGAGCGGTTGTATTCTCTTCCCTTGTTATTTCCCTTATAATTTTTATTATTGGTGGTAGCAGTAGTGATTTGTGTTATACCTTAGTTACTGGACTGTTCTTATCTCAGCCCATGGGAGTCACATTCTTTCGATTCTCCTGCCCATCCCTCCAGGAGCAGGGGAGAGGGGCGGAGTGAAAGAGAGATTGCGTGGCTCTGATTTACGGCTGGGCTTAAACCACAACAAGTCCTTAGTGATACTGACTGTTTTCTTTTGCCTAAGAACTGAGCATGTAACCTTCTTGTCTACCCAGAATGAAAGGTCTTCAGGGAAGCTGTGGTTTCATCTTTGAATGCTATCTTCCCCCGTGCAGTGGACAGAACATCAAAGAGTGACTAATCTAACGACAATTTTTTCGTCTCTGTTCACCAATGAATTGCTAGTGTTTATCTGAAATACATGAAACAACTTGTGGCCATGAAATATGACCACCATCTCTTGTGCTAAGTAACACAAGAGGTATTACTCCTTTTCCATCCCAGGGCATCCTTTTTTGTACCTTTTTTTGTTTTACTCTTACATGTTAAGAAATTGAAGGAAGTGTAGAGGTGCAACACAGGAGCAGGAAGCAGGGCCCTGTGGTGTGCTGCAAAAAGCTGGCTTGAAGTTATGTGGTTTAACACTTTCTTTTTCTAAGAGTTTTAAATGCATGATAACTGTACTGAGGTCTTGTGTGATGGCTTCCTGTGTGACTTTGAGTATATTACCTCTGTTTTTTGCCCCAGCTTTTTTCACCTCAAAAATGAGAATAATATGCCATTACCACTCCACAAACTTAGGCACTGCAAGAATATATTGACTTATAACTAGAGGCCAGTGTCTTGCCTGTCTCTACCCTTTAGTTATCACATCTTTTCCTGCCTAGTTGCTCCTTAGCTTCATTTGAAGATGTGACTCCATACTGAAGAAGTCTGCATTTTAAGCAAAGTTACTGTAAATATAACTTTTCCTGCATTGGTTGTAATTCGCAAAGAAATTATTTTTGCTTAGGCTAGAACAAATAGGGTGGACTTCCATCATCAAAGCACGTAAAATAATATGTTATTAAAAAAAAGTGATGAAACAGAAGAAATTTCTGTGGAAATATTTTTGTTAAAAAATGAAGAGATTTCTTTTTGAATTAGAGCAGAAAATAATTGGCACACTGTGTGTAGTACTGAATAGAAATCCTCTTGAGGACTGAGGTGGTCTTTCCGGTACTCTGAAAAGTATCTTGTTGCTTATGGACATATTGCAAGATTGTTGGTTATCTAACTTTTACAATGCCAACAGCATTCACTTAAGTAGTCAGAGTGCTTTTATTATCCATATATCAGGTCACTTATGTATGCAATGTTTTCTTACCTGGGAAGGGAAGGGAATAGGAAAGGATTATACAAGGCAGCAGGATTTTTTCATACAACTGTGCTCACTCACCTTTCACAATTTCATAATAACTAGCTTAGCAAAACAAAGGTGTTTTAGAAATGAAGAAATGGTTGTGAGGTCTGAATATCGATCATGAGCTGTCATCAAATAATGTCTCTACATGATCATTGATTTTCAACTTATTTTGTCATAAAAAGTTCATGCTGGTTTATGCAAAATACTAACGATATTTATTACTATTGTATTTCAGCAACTTGGTATCAAAAACGGTTTATCGTCAGCATAGCTAGAGGAATTTCTGCTGCTGTCTTACTGTTAGTTTTTCTATCGATCTTCATTACCACTGCTTATCACAAAAAGTGAGTAACAAAACAATTTGCTTAATATACAGAAGCAGGTAAATGCGAAGGTGTTAACAGCTCATGCTACTATCCTCTTCAGTATCAGTTAAAAAAAAAAATGTAGATGTGAAAATTGAATTTTCTCACCAACATTTTAAACTTGAAAAAACCTAATCCATTCTACAGCCTATGAAAGAAATGACAGTTTATGTCCGTGTTGGAGGTGTGTCTCACCCCCTCCCCCCTCTTATTTTTCACATTAGAAAAACAAATGGCTTACTGAAGTTCCTTAGTCAGCTAAATGCTTACAGTGGTATTAGCTGGAATTTCACACCAAAGGTAATCTGTCAGGAATAACATAAACCTAGGCATAGACTTTTCCTATTTTGTGCATAGAGGGCAGGTGACATCTTGGGGTGTTCTACATCTTCTAGCATTTTTCTGTCATATGATTTAAAGTTCCAAATTTTTTCACAGCTGGATCCAAACTCATTGTTAAACCATTATCTAAGTTGGCTGTATTACTTGCCAAGTATATGCTATTGGTGTGATCCAGAATCTCTGTTTCCAATGAAAAGAAAAAGTGAGCAGAAAAAAAAATTCTTCCCCTGCCACAATATCTGGAACTTGTTGGCAACAGCTTCCCACATTTGCTCCTGAATCAAAGGGCCTCTTTTTCTTTGTCCAGGCTTTTATGAAACACTGCTAATCTATCTCATACATGTTATAGTTTACAAGTCAGAGGAAAGATTATTTGGATTTTTTATTGTAATTACTGGTTTCAGTGAGCAAGACCAGAATTATTTCTTGTATGCTGGAATTAGATATTTTGAAGTATGCTATCATTCATGATGCAGATCCCTCCACTGTTTTTCTGACTGAATGTGTGTCCTCAGCAAGAAGAGGAAGAGGATCACAGAGACTTTCTCAAACGATTTGTGTCCTACTCAGATGCAGGTGGAATTAACTCACATCTTGTATATTTCTTGACCTTTCTCTTCTGTATCTGATCTTTATATCCCCTAAATCTTATGGTCTAATCTTAAACTATATAGACAGGAAAAATGTAATATTTTAAAGTGTGATTATTGCTATTTATTTTTTTAATGAATGTTTTTTAATATTTTACAGATACATTTAGAGTTGTAACTGCATTCCATGTTATTAACAAATTAGCTCTTTTGGTTCACTAGCATTCTTATTATTTATTTTCTTCAAGTCACTATTGTAAAACTGAAGCAAACAATTGTATCTTGCGATAATCTTTGTCTTGATCTATTTTTTCTAGTTGCGCTTCACTGTAATTTGTTGGGACAGATGCTTCAGTGCTTCTTTCTTTTTTTGTACTGTCATAATCAATGTTTTGCAGCTCTCTGTCCCCCAACTCCCTCCCCTCTCATCCTCCCCCCCCCCCCCAATAATCCTATTCAAGGCCTTCAGAAGTGGAAAACAGACAATTTCACTGCTTCTGCCTTGTCTCTTCATATTTTAAGTTGGGGTATGAAGCTATGCTGTACTTAAGGAAATGATTCCATTTTCACAGTGGATATGAGACTGGCTTTCCACTTATATCCTCTCAGATGATCCTCTGTATGATCCAATGGTGAGCTCCACTGTCAATATATCCTTATAAAGCCATTTGACCTCATGTTATTTCCATTAGTCTCATTTTGACTGTTGGGTCACTGTACCAGAATGAAGCTCTTACCAGTGACCATAGGCTACGGGCTAGTCATTTACTTCAGAAAACACCTTTCCTCCCATGCCAGTTAATCAGAGCATGGTCACATTAAGCTGTCTTAAATACATGACTAATTCTTAGCATGGTCAATAACTTCAGAATAATTCAGAATGTTTTAAGATTGACATAGGAGAGACTACTTTATTATCTGTGGTGTGTATGGGAGGGGAAGGGGGCATTCCACTGGTGCTTTACCAGGCACCTGATGCAGGACAGCTGGGAAACATTCAAAGTGAAACTTTTTTCATATGTATTAACCTAAAACGTATCTGTAGCATACATGAAGACAAAAAAAAAATAATAATCAATTGATGGTTGAATATTTCCCCAAAATAAATCAGCATATGAGGAAAATGTGGCATTTTTCTCCTTTTTCAAAGTTGCAGCTGTTTTGAAGAAAATTCCTTAAAAGTTTCTTTTTCTTTTCTTATTTTTTTTAATGTTCTTCTAGCCTGGTAACAGTTATGGAAGTTCTAATTTTCATGGCACATGGAACACAGGAAGAAGAGAAGAAGAATCATCCCTTGAGCAGACAGAGGAGATTTATGTCAACTGCGATGATGTCTCATTTAAACCTAAGAAAAGACCATTTGATTCCTTTTTAGGAATGAAATAACCAGAGTGCAGGGCTTATATTTCCAGCTTAGACTTCATTTTCTTTGCATCATTGTGAAAGGTTAAAGTGGTTGTGCTGAGCACTGCCTGGGCTGCTTTGGCTGGACACCTAGCCTGGGCTAGCTTACACCAGATATAACTGTGCTGTATGGGAGCCTGCAGCATTAGCATATTTTTTTTTTGATTCATATGTAAAGATTATTTGTACTTCTGAAATTTAAACGGTTTTACCCAGTAGGTGTACTCTTAAAAATTTTAGATTAACTCTGACATACAGAATGGAGCATTTACAAAAAGTTAATTTGGTCTGAGGTATCGATGCTTCTGAAAAGCCTATATGAGAGGGCTGAGCAAGAAAATGTGTTCGATGTTGTCTATATCCATGACTTTTGCATCTCAAATGGAGTGCTTTATAGAATAATAAATTTCCATTATTTTCCACAAAGGAGGTGTTAGTTTGCGGCTGGGCAAAGAGTACTATTCAGCTCACAAAAGCAAATATATCAGGGATCCCTGAACGTAGATTTAAAAGTATGAACAGCAGCTTGCTGTCTAACAGCTGTGTGGTTTTACAGGTTTCTTGCTGCTCATCACAGTTATTTCAGTGCTTTCTATTTGTGGATGAAATAGAAGTGTAGCTCCTGCTCTCCTCCCTCCCTCCTTCCATCCCACCTCTCCCCCCATGCCCAGGAAAGAAAAAACAACCATGAAGACTGTAGCTGTCAGGTTATATTTAATAATAATTTATTATAAGGTTTAGTAGCGCAAAAAATAAAAGAGAACATGGAAGATATATGAATAAATGATGCAAAGCAGAAAAAGACGTGATTGAGAACATTTACAAAACAATACACATACATATGTAGTTGTATGTGTGCATATATTCAGCTGAAACCTACAAAAGAAACCACACAGAAATTGGACAAAAAAAACAAAGAAACAAAAAAAAACAACCAACCAACCAAAAAAAGAAAATCCTTAAAGAAACAGAACTAGAAGGCAGACCTGAGAATTAGGTTCTACACATCTTTTGGCCTTTTACTGAGGACAAAATCCCAGTAGATGAAGGTGTTACCATGATGGCTGATAATCATATACTACAAGCTGTGTGCCTGGCCCACCTGTGTTTGACTCCCCTTTTCATTTGAAGCATTAGTAAAAGTTGTTTTTGGTTTTTTTGTTTTTTTTTTGAGGGGGAAGATTTGTGAGTCTGCCTATGGTTCAGTTACCTGTTCCACTGGGCTCACTAGGAAGGTGCATCAACAGCCTGACAGTGAAAAGCACATTTTCCATAGCCTTCTGCGATGGAAAGCTTTCTTCACGTACACAGAAAAATAGGAGTCTAGGTTCTTCTGAGGATAAAGTGGTCACGGGGCTTCTCTGAACTATCTGAGCTATAATAGTGCTGTGTGGTTAGCCTACACCTCAGCTAAAAATGTAAAATCCTAAACCAAAATGTTCTTCAACTTCTCGCTGAATACTTGTGTACAATGTCATGTAACATTAGAAAACATCTCATTTTCGTTTTGCGTACCCCTGAACAAGGACACATACAAATTGTAAGGGCTATTTCTGTCTCTTTCACTTTGAGGGCTTTCAAGATATATAAATGCTTGCATGCGAAGTTGATGAGGATACACAGAACTGTACTATTAATATGTTGGTTTATTTCCTGAGTTATCAAATGTTATAGCAGATAATTCTAAGTTGTGCACAGCATTACAAATAAAACCCTGTAGTACTGGGTTTCTTTGATGATCCCATTTATTTTAAAAAGCTAAAATGATAATGTAATGAATTTGATTCTACTGAAGTTCTCAGATGGAAGCCTGATACAGAAATATCCATAAGCTGAGAAGCTGGTAATGTTTCACTGCTTGTGGAGACAGTCAAAATACATCCCTACTTTACTAAGGGTAAAAGCAGGAGAGGTTGAGGTTGAGTAGCTGGAATACCGGATAGCTTTGTTTATTTCTGGTAAAACCCTTATTTCTTGCCTCCACTGGTACTTTTAGCTTTTCTTCTCAAAATAATCACTTATTTTTGAGATTTGAGGAAGAAAAAAAAATCTGTAGTGCACATCTTTGCAGGTATTTTATCTATTTTAATTCAAATTTCATAGACATATTACTTCTACCAGGATAGTCCACAGGGAAAACCACATCACACATAGCATAATAAGAACAATATATTATTTCTTTTTCTAAAAACAAATGTAAAACAACAGCTTCATTTTTCTACCATGGTAATATCAGTGAACAGCAGCTGAACATGAGACTGATACAAATGAAAACCCAAGAGAAAACAACCCCAAATTTATCAATATTATAATTTTCTTAAAAACTACACACAAGCTACACGTAAGAGAAACTTCCAAAAGTGTAATTTGAAATGTAATATGAAAACTTTGGATATATTATGAGCCTGGCAAGACAGGAGTCAGTAAAAGTCTGTTTGCTGTGAAAGAGTTTGAATTATGTAAATAGACTTTCCTATGTAAAATAGTACAAAATATTGCTGCTTATTGCTATTTATTTCCAATACTTTCCATAGATTTCCCCTTTTCTTTGGGAAAATTTTAGTCCCTTTTGAGTAAACTTTATGAATTGCAATTTGGAAATTTTATGTTGAACAATCAGTGTGCTATTACATGCTGTATTGCTTGCCCAACTAATTAAGAGCAAGGGAAAAAAAATCAAGAAAGTAACATGACACAACTATAGACAGAACCAGCTCAGCACACTAGCTAAACTCCAAGATAATTCTCTCTTTTTTTTGTGTGTGTGTGTTAATGCCTTGGAAACTTTGCTGCAAGGAAATAAACATAATTAAGCACGGTACCATTTAAAAACTGAGTCTTGAATTACTGGGTAACTACCTTCTGTGTAACTGGAAAATGAATCTACGAGCTTTTAAGAAAACCAAAATCAGTTTTCTTTTCCATAATAATAAAATTCATCTTTTATGCAGGATGAAAAAAGGTGGATGGCTAAGTCCCATGTTCAAAAGAAAATTCCATGATAAACAGTTCTACTAACTTTTTAAAGGGTGTAAACTCACTTTTTTGTTTTTGTTTTTGTTTTTTAAATGAAATCAGAGAAAGAAACATTTGTAATCAGTCTTTGCTGGGATCTTTGAATGTAGGAGTGGCAGTCACCAGAGTATGTCTCAACAGGGCAGATATGAAACTCAGTCTGTGAAAGAAGGTGAAACAACGGTAACATATATTATCTCCTATTATTTTCTTTATCTCAATTACGTTCCTTTACTTTGAAGAGCTTCTTTGGCTCTTTAATATATATTATTCTGCCTGTCTTCTGCTCTCCCTTGGCTATGCATCTGGGGGTAAAACAATGTTTCTGTGAGGAAACAGCCTGCTTTAAGGGCTGGACGCACCAAGGAACACAAGAAGCTGGATTCCTCCAAATCCCCTTCTTTCTGACCTCCACCTGCCCTAAATTCCCTGGTACCTTTTCTGTTTGGCAAATAATTGTTTTCATTTATCAGCATCTTGATCTAACTGTGCTGTGCAACTTAACCAACTGCTTCCCATCCAAATCTTATCCCAGGATTAGGGCACAGGACCAAGGCAACAAAGCAGGCAGAATAGTTAATGTAGAGGTGCTACCTGTTTGATCACAGGTGGATGCCAGCCTGCTCCTGAGAGATCCAAATAAAAAAAAAGATTACTTTGAAAAAGAAAAGATTTCAGAGGACTAACCTCATTGTCAGGTAAGGGTAGTAAGGATTTCTTTGTAATCATAAAGACATATGGGAGGGAACCAGGGCTCTGATTTTTTTTAAATGTGTTTTTAAATCTTACCTGCATCATGCCCCTCTAAATATTCTATGTTACTGAGCTATGCAAAAGTTCAAATCAATGGTGATTATTTATAGAAGTTGAAACTGTGCCCCTGTGTGTACTCCCCAGTGCAAGTGAAAGACTTTCCTTTAAAAAGCCTAGGTGACCAGAAGGACTTGATGCCCTAAGTGGCTTAGCAAGTCTGACACTAAGGGCTAGTCTCAAAACCAGACTTGTCTGTCTACAGGATAAGTGCTAAAATGCTCTTTTACGCTGTGGACCCCAGGAACAGAAACTATATGTCAGGTTCTTAGCCTATTATTTAAGGTCTTAGTAAGGTGTACTTAGATAAAATAACTAATATGAATTACTAGCAGTGGTTGGCATAGTTCTTCTAAACTTATGTTTATTTAAAAAGAGAATTTTGTGGTCTTAGGCAAAAAGTGGCTAGGTTATTCTAAAGGATATTTAACAACTTCCTTACAAGGTTATGTAATTAGGTTGTTACACTAAATATTTCATTTCTAGTATTAACCCATAAATTTTATAACATGATTTAAGTGATCAATAACTTATCATACTAAGATACAGCCAAAAAAATCCACAGTATCTTTCCTTTATTCTCTTTTCCCCCCCCAATACTTCTCTCTGTTTGTGCTGATGTCTATATGTGTTCTTGAAGACAGAAATGAATGTTAAGAATAACTCTCTGTTAATACCATTTTTTCCTCTGAAATAAAACTGTCTGAAGCAGACACAAAATACCATTCCCATCCCCTGATAAAGCCAGAAGTTGAATGTTCTGGGAAACTGTTTTGCACTCAACATGACCCACTGCTTTGTGCTTAAGTATCTGCTGAATTCTCCTAATCTTTTTTTTCTGCATTGTCTGTTTTTCCTTGTAACTATCTTAAATCAGTGCAACTTACAAATAGCAGTTCTGGATATTTCCTGTCACAGCCTGTCATCTATAGAAATTCAGGAAATGCAATAATTAACATCAACTAGGATAACTTTATTTTACATCATCTATTCTGTTTTAGCTATAGGAGCAGTGATGAGAATAAATGTTTAACTGAAACCTCTATTTTTGTTACTGGTATGGTATTGCCAAGACAGCTGATGAATTTTCTTCAGTTTCTATTATGTCCATTTCAGTCTTGTTATCATACAATAAAAAAAAAATCGAAACCAATATG